ATACATGCAGGCAATACACACATACACATAAAAATAATTTAAAAATTAAAACAATTTAAAATAATAAACAGACTTTATAATCACATATGAGTATGGACACGAAACACATTGAGATTTTTAGATTTCCTGTCCTGGAAAATAATGTGTCGAGAAAAGAGTGTGTCTTCGGAATAGAGGGTATCTGCATTCTGGTACCTACAGGCTTTAGCTGTGTAGTCTTGGGCAGGAGGGCAACCTCTTCATATTCTCACCTGTAAGATGAGGCTAACAATGTCCATCCTGCACATCTGCAACATAAGACCATGTATAAAGTGCCATGTATACAGCCTACACATAGCAAGTGCTCAATGAACTGCCATCTCTCCTATTGTGGAAAATGGGTTCATTCTGTGCCAGTTTTAGAGTGGTTTGTCTGAAGCAAGAAGATAAAACTCTGTCCTTTTTGAAATTTCTTCCAGTCTGGCAGCTCTGGGCACTAGGAGACTTGTTCTCAGTTAACCTCCTGTCCTACAAGCCCCATACATTCACGTATCTGCATGATACCTTTTGGGGAGATCACTGTTTCAAGTCTCAAGTGAAGACCTCAGGGTCTGCAATAGGAATCATATTTCCCCATTCTAAGGCCACTGCTTGTGGATAGATCGTTTTTGCCCCATCTTCCTATCATAGACATATATCTGAGGTCTCCATCTCTGGGAAGATTTAAAAAACTATTTTATTATTTTTATTTTGTGTGCATGAGTGTATTGCCTGCATGTGTGTAACTGCACCTGTGTCGAGCAATGCCCATGGAGGTCAGAAGAAGGCATCAGATTCCCCCATAACTGGAGTTACAGATGGCTGTTAGCCACCGTGTGTGCTGGGAATCGAATCCAGGCACCCTGGAAGAGCGGTCAGTGCTCTTAACCTCTGAGCCATCTCTCCAGCCCCTCTGGGAAGATTTTTTTTTAATTATTTTTATTTTTTTATGTATACGAGTATATTGCCTGGACATGTGTAAATGTACCCATGTCACACAATGCCCCTTAGAGGTCAGGAAAGGGTGTTGGAGCCCCTGGAACTAGAGTTATAGACAGCTGTTAGCCACCATGTGGGTGCTGGGAACTGAATTTGGGTCCTCTGCAAAGAGCAGCCAGTGCTCTTAACTGCTGAGTCATCTCTCCAGTCCTTCCAATATAATTCCTGCTCTCATGGTGCTTGTAGTCCAGAGAAGACAGCCATTCAGAAAACCAAAGAGAAATGAATCATTTTTAAATTTTGGAAAAATATGAAGAAAAGATATATAGGGAGTCATAGGAGATCCAACAAGGGCATTTGATCTAGCCTGGAAAAGGGCTCCTATGGAAGTTGAGACTTGATCGAAGTATTCATGTATGTTGATTTGGTGAGTGGATGTAGTGGCAAGAGATGTTTCAGGTAGAGGCACCAGCAGACACAAATGTCTTGAGGCAGGAGGGAGTATGGCGTATTTAAGGCACTATCAGAAAGCCAATGAGGCTGGAATGCAGTATAATAGGGCATTAAATGTTAATCTATTAATACAGCCCTTCTCCTATTGTGGTTTGAGGACTCTCCAAGTGTTCAGAGGGCTACACAATCAAAGAAGCTTCATCCTGGCTCTGCTGTTTACTAGCAGTATGACTTTGGCAAAGTTATTTTGTACCTTTGAGATGTTTGTGCATATGCTAAAGGAGATATTTAAATAGCCGCCCAGGGATGTGATCCAGATTAGGAGAGATGATGCCTGTGTACCTGCCTAGCTCAGTTCATGGCACAAAATATAGTGTTTAATGCACACTTTTGAGATTAGCCAAATGGCTGAGAAAGGACTGGGGCTCAATAAGAGCTCACTTCTTATTGCACTCCAGTGGTGGTGGAGCCAAGGGCAAGACTAAGACAGCATTCATCAAGTTTATGAGTGATGGATGTAAGAGAACTCGAGGTAAGTCAAGTTTGGAGTGTTAGTATGAGTGACAGCCTGTCTACAGGCTGGCATATCTGAGCACCTTGAGCATGAAGCAAGCACAGAGACCGACCAAGCTGGAAGACATTGGTCCAACTGCAAAGGCCAGCTCCAGTCTGGGACAGATGGACCAGCCAACAGTCATCGACATCATGAACTCTGTGAGGGTAGAGGCACATGGCTCTTGGTCCTCCCTGAATCCCAGGTTCTGGCAGATTCCCAGGATTCAGATGATGAAAGAAAATAATCTTCAAGGCATGAGAGTCATACTCACCCAGATCATCTAGTGTGGGGGTCAGGAGGGTCTGTGTTGTAGCTTTGTACCTTCTCTTCATCCTTCAGAGTGAGGTGGAGGTAGTCTTGCTGAGACCACAGCACCTGACAGAAATCCTAAGGGAGGAAAGGTTGATTTTTGCTTCATGGTTTCAGTACCTTACAATGGATAAGGCATGGCCCATCAGCTCTTGGAGAGGCAGTAGGGAGGAAAGGCAGGTGGGCCAGAGGCTTTTCCCATCATAACGGGGCAGGAAGCAGAGAGCAGACAGGAACCAGGGGCCAATATAACCTTCAAATGCCCACCCCTACTGAGCCACTTCTGCCAATTAGACCCTACCTCCTAATGCTTTCACAGCCTTCCAAAATACATCCACTATCTGGGCAACACGCATTCAAATAATGAGCCTGTGGGGGGCATTTCCGTTTCAGACCATGACAAACAGCAACACACAGGCTGCTGTAGCTATTTATACCCCACCTCATTCCACAAATGGTACATTTTGTCTTTAAATAGGGCTTAAAGGGTTTGTGGTTGCTTTAGGTCTCTGAGGAAATGGAAGTAAAAGAAAATCAGGAAACTTCAGTGGAAATGAGGTAGAATGGATAATAAAATTATATTCCATATACCAGGCTTGGTGGGTCTCACTTTAATCCCAGCACTCAGACCCAGGCAGGTGGATTGTGAGTCTGAGGCCAGCCTGGGCTATATAACAAGATCCTTCCATGAAATTAACCAAAAAAACTAGACAAAAGCAAAAGAAAACAAAACATTCCATAGGCTTCTATATAAAACTGCCAGAGGTAAGCTATGATTTTAGTTCTGAACTGCCTAGAAGCTGAATAAGGTGGTAAACTGGCAGTCACGAGCTTCATGGTGGTCAGACGATAAACCATGAGTAGCTCAGAGAGGCACAGCTGTTCAGGGTGTTGAAGTTGAGGAGACATTTCCTCAGAGTGCACAGACTTGTGGGTGCATAGGGCTCCTATCACACTCTGGGTATTTCTGCACTCATCGGGCCCAGCTCAGAAACTAGGATGAACTTGAGGAGTGTCATGCAGTAGGTGGGAAATAGGGAAAGACTACATTGTATTCTCTCAGATGCATCTTTGAGGATGCTGGAGACCCACAGAGCAGGGTCTCTCAAAGCCTGGTGAAGGAATTCCTCACCTGGTGCTGGACACTGGTGTGAAGTTGATCCTGGCAAAAAACGGAGGTGTAATTAATGAAATGGAGAGTTCCAGAGCCATGCCCAGCTGTGGGACTTCACTTGGCCTCCCCCCTCTGCCCTGCCATGACTCATTGGGGTTATGAGCAATCCTCATATGCCTGATTTAGAGGACTTACTCACCCTTCAGAGAAAAGACTTTAATGCAATAAAGCAAATGTCAGTAACTGGGATGCAGCGTAGCACATCGGCCCAGCCTGCAGCTAGCTTCTTACAGCCTGGCTCTCTATAAGACCCTCCCTCTGTTCAGCCACTCAGCACCTGGCCAGACCTGCACAATGGGCTTCCAGGTCATATTCCCAAGCTGAGTAGAGGCTTGATGTGAACCTTGGAAGGGTCAGGAATCAGCTAAACCAAGCCCCGAAGTCTGGATGCAGAGGTTGGAGATTAGCTCCAAAACATAGGCCTTAGGGCTTAGTGAGGACTGAACCCCCAGACTCTCCCTCTCTCCATTGCTCTGCAGAGAGGAGACTGACTTGGATTAAACACATGAGGGAGTAGCTGAAATTATGCCTTCTTGGTCTGGGTAGCCTCATCTGAGGACTTTGCAAGGAACTTGTGGAGCATATCTTGAGGAAAGGACAGGAATAGGGGAAGCAGGGCCTTGGCAGTCTTAAGGGTGATGTTTAGAGAAAACTGTGCCATCTTGCTATTCGTCAGCACAGTGCCCATTGGGGCAGCTGGAGACTTCTTTGAGCCCTTCTGAAGTGAGGTTTGGCTGGAGTCCTCGTCAGACACCAGCTGGGGATGGCATAGCTCTCAACTGCTTTCCTCTTGGTTAGGGAACATGTCAAGAGTTAGGCTAGAGCTTAGGCAGTAGCAGCTAGAGAGGTGATTCTTCCTTCCGCCACCAACGCAGAGGAAATTACTCAGAAGGCAAGTTGAGCTTCACTTGGATTTAAACCCACTCACTGAGGGATTTACCTAGGAACTCTTCAGGGAGTTCTCTGAATTAGTTGTAAGAGTAAAAAGAGGCGGTGGGCAGACCCCTAAGGGGAAGCTTCACCCACTCCACACCTCCAACCCTCAACCATCTCTAGCCAGCCTGTTCAGAGGCTACCATGTACCAGACAGGGCAGAGGAGACTGGCCACAAGTGTGGCATTTGGGTTTACTGGAATCACAGGCTCTGTGTTCCCAGGAACCTTTGAGATCACCTAGCTCCTTTCAAGTCCGCAGATAACGAATTAAATCCACAGTTAAGCTGGGGTGGAAAGAGGGAAGAGTCTAGAGTGGGCAGATACTCTGGCCATCTCAGGGATTTCTCTAACATTCTACGCCCTTGTTAAGATCAGACTTGTGAGCAAACACACAGACTCACACCATCCTTACTTACCCTACCATTCATTTGGAAATAGAACCAAGGTGGGCTCCAGAGTCCTCCCTAACCCAAGTCACCACCAATAGACAAGCACTTTTATCTTTTGCTATTTTTATTTTGCACTATATAAAAAAAAAAAACAACAAATCAGTATCATACTGCTTTTCTTCACATTCACATGGGTTTTAGGAAATTATTGCCTTTTCCCCTGGAGAAACCTATAAACAGAAGTAGTACCACATTGCAAAATATGCAAATCCCAGAAGACAACCCCCAGGGGCAGGGAGGAAAACAAATAAGCACACAAAAGGACACTAAGCTGAGGACTGTTCAGATGCCAGGGACCCTGAACACAGTGCACGTCCCCCTTGTCTGAGCACTCACTGCCACCACCTCAAAGGGGTGATTTTTGGTCTAGCGTCTGAACACTGTTTTTGAATGACACCAAAGGTACTCAATCTGAAGAGAGGTGTAAGGAGACAGGTTCAAGTATGAATAAAACCCATGCCAAAGTCCAAGGTCAGAGAAGAACCCCAGCGAAAAGGAAACCCCAAAGAGTCAACACCTTGCTTTTTCAACCAATAACCCCCAATCTCAAACCACTTCCGGGTTCAGACTGGCATATACTTTGTGTCCTAGCAAATCTAGCAGGGTTACTTTTCTGACTGGGTGATCAGCTTATGCCCTGAAGCAACAGAGAGACAGACAAAAAGTTGGCTAATGTTCAAAAAATAAAGAATGGAAATTGTGCTTCCTCCTAAATGAACTGGCTTCATCACAGCCTTTTCTCCTGGTCCAGCAGCTTCTCACTCCCATGTTGTTGTGGGTATTTATTGCCTTACGCTTGAAATGAAAAGGCGAACTTTTGAGGTGCAAGGACTAAGCAGTCCTCAACGGGCAGGGGGTCTGGAAGTACAGTAGTCAACACACCCTGTGTGAGGGTCATGGCTTGGCCTTCCCACAGTCCCGAGAACCCATCGTCGAGGTCAGTTTGAAATTCATCTGCAAGCCTGGTGACCACTTACCATCTCACTGGAGCAGTGGGACAGAGAGAGGTCTTCAGTATTGCACAGGTATGAAATGTCCACAAGTTTAAAAAACCAAATCACAGTTGCCCTTGGGGCTGTCTTGATACCCTGTCTCAGTCTCAGCAGGATGTGGCTGTGGCCACAGGGCTCCTATGGAGCTCTGCAACTGTTGAGTGGGTGGGCACTGGTGCCAGCACCGAGGTAGGGAATGTGCAGTAGGCACCCTGCATATCAGGGCTCAGTGTCTGTAAATGGTCTATAAATGAGGAGCTGGCTGCCTCGCCTTGGCAGGAGGGAGGCTGAGGGGTGGGCGTGGAAGGCAGGATCTCAGATTCATACTGAAGTAGCTGGCCCATGAAGCCAAAGTTGGGAGAGATCATGCTCCTCCTCTGCTTGACATAATCAAAGGCCTCCTTCAGGTGGAACTGCTTGGTCTTCATGAGGTAAGCCATGCAGATGGTGGGCGACCGGGAGACCCCAGCCTCACAGTGGACCAGGACCTTGCCTCCCTTCTCCCTGACACAGTCTGGAATGAAGCAAAGAGAACAGCAGTGAGCCACAGCTGGAATCTAAAGGTAATACCACAGCCTCACAGTGGACCTGACACAGTCTGGAATGAAGCAAAGAGAACAGCAGTGAGCCACAGCTGGAATCTAAAGGTAATACCAAATGCAGGATTAAATACTGGTGTGGCCTAGTCATCCCTCCATTGTGCAAGTTCAAGAGCAATCTATGGTCCTTAAATCACGCATTGTGGTTGGGTACCTGTAATCAACCTGTCTCCCAACATCTGAGAGACAGACTGGAGGATCATAAGTTCAAGGCCAGCCTGGGCTACCCAATGAGAGCTTCTGAGATCCAAATGACATGTCTCCATGCAGGACCTTTATCCTTACAATTGCTCCCAAGAACACCTGCTAGAGAGAGCCTTTTAAATTGTGTTCTATTCATCAGGTTCAAAAGGACATTGGGAAATTCTTGAAGTCACGTGTGAGTTTCTTAGTGTGTACGTTCATTTTTCTGAGTGTCCTAGGCTCAAAGACCAACCTAGAGAAGCAATTCTTGCCTCTCCAGTTCTCATTCTAATGGTGACAATGTAGCCCCATTCTGGCAGAGGCCTTCTGGCCTCCCCAAGCACCCTGTGCAAGGGCGGGATGCTTGGCTCAGCTCCCAGGGTTCTCATCACCAAACATACAACAACAAACAGCACCCGACCATTAATTACAGCCCTGGCTAAGTGACGCTCACTCCATGGAAGATATAAATGGCTTTTGCAAACTCCATCTTGCTCAACAATGGGAGTCATTGCTATAAAGCTACCACCATCAGTTAGCATTCTTTTGCTCAATATGACAGAAGTGTGTGTGTTCCCTTCCTTTCCTGCTCTACCCTTCCCAGCAAAAAAAAACTGCTAAAAATGGGAAGAGGTAAAGGTGAGTACATATCAAATCAAAATCACACAAACTATAGTCTCCAATTCCCTCTCTTGCTAGTGAGGAAGCAATTACCTCATAGGAAGTCAGATGTAATTGGTACTATATACGGCCACAGAATGAAAAAAAAAAAAAGTTGACAGGGGAAAATGTTTGCTCTCTTATCACCCTCCACCCATGTGTTTCAGGTTCAAGGTTTGAAAATGAATCTACAATATTAAAGGATCCAATTTCTAAGGGGTCAGGGAGGAACCTTTGAGATTTACCATCTGAGCAACACAAAAACTTGTAACATATACTTAGGATAGCTCATTAGAGGCACCTTAGTTATCAAAATAAAGAACAAGAGTCCTTGTAGATCAGTTCAAAGGGGAGACCCCAAGTCCCTCCCTGGGATGATGGAGTTGAGATTAGCGAGCTGTGTCTCGCTTCCTTTGCTCCTCCACTGGCTGCAAGCATTTAGCTGCTGGCCTAGTGCCACAGTCAAGAATGGAAAGGACCTAGAGTATACTGCTTCCAGAACCCTCTCTAAACCTCAGGCTCTTGCCATCCATAGTCCTTCCTTCCTTCCTTTAGCAGATCAAGGTGTCTGAGTTTAAAAAAACGTCCAGTGCTTTCGAAAGGTCTGTGTGACTGTATGCACAAACACAGACACAACACACACACACACACACACACACACACACACACACACAGCCTGGATGGGAGCAGGCTGCATGACATCATTCAGTAGCTATCTAGGTAATTAAATAACAGGATGAGAAGGGCAGGGAGAACCAGCCAAGAGTTCCTATCTAGAACCCATCATTGTGGCTGCTTCTCAGGCTCCAAAGAGATTGTCTCAGCCCAGAGACTTGGGGGACAAGGACAGCCTCAGCCTTTGCCTCTGGTGAGTTTGTCAAGATTTCCTGTGGAGATGGTGTGTGGTGAGCACAGGCCCCTCCACGTGGCTGAAGGGAGCCCTTTAATTGCTACCTGTACCAAGTAATTATCCTTGTGTCCAACACCTGTCTTTTCCCCTCCAGCATCCTTTGGAACAAGATACGGGAAAATCATGGCCTCAGTTTTAACAACTACACAGGCATGTTAAAGAGAAAGAAGGCAGAGAAAAAGGGAGGCAGGACCACAAGGTTGAGGAGTGGTGCTTGCACATTTAACACAAACGATAAGGCAGGCTATGCCACAAGAAACGGGAGGAAAGGTAAAGAGAAGGTAAGGCATGAGAGAATCTAGGAAACCTAAGTACCTAGACACCCTAAAGCCAACATCCTGTCCAGGAAGGGAGATCAGGGGTCAAGGCCTCAGTTTTCAGGCTTGTACAACAGAAGAGATGACAAGTGCCTCACAGGGATACAGAAAGGATACAAAAGATACCAATTTTTCTGTACACAAAGCATGGGGCTTGAATCAAGTGTTATCATTAATCCAGAATTAGCTGAAAATACAAAACAAATTGCCTCCAAAGCAGTTTGCCAAAACTGTGGAAAGCTACTGGGGCCCTTGAGGCTCTGTGGGTAAGGAGTGCTCCCTCCAACCTTCTGTTTGCTTTTAAAACTATTCAAACCTACGTAGAAGCAGTTAAGGATCCCCCCCCCCACCGCCATTTTCTGCCTGTGGAGCATTACACATGGATGCTCCGTGCTCCCGCCCAGCTAGAAACAACAAGATCAGCCACGAGCACTGCCCTAAAATTATATTAATTCATTTATCTTATAATGAAAACTCCCAATAATAGGAACTTGAGTCCTCCCCCTTTGCCTTTCTGGTGGCTACATCTATTCTTGGTCCCAACTTTTAGTGGTTGGGACACTTTCTTGAGTTGGGCATGGTGGCCAACACCCATAATCCTACCACTTGAGAGGTAAAGGAAGGAAGATCAAGCAGTTCAAGGTTATTTATTTATTTATTTATTTTTTTGGTCTTTTTGAGACAGGGTCTCCCTGTAGTCCCAGCTGACCTGACCTGAACTCATTATGTAGACCAGGCTGGCCTTGAACTCACAAAGATCCACCTGCTTTGCCTCCCAAGTGCTGGTACTAAAGGCATGAGCCACCATGCCCAGCCAAAGGTCATTCTTAATTACAAAGCAAATCTGAGGCCAAGAGGGAGGATGCTGCTGCAACAAAAATTCCCCTTTCTAAGAAGGTAATCATATCAAGATACTGAAATATCAAAAGGCAAGAATCCATGCTCCAAGAAGCTCCCAGAACAATCCAGGTGGTAGTTGAACCTACCAATGAAGTCTATTGCTTCTTGAAAATGGGAGCTAATGTCAGCTGTGTGGCTGTCTTCCACAGGGATCCATTTGTAGTGTAGGTGGGTCATGCAGGTCTCAGAGGTCCGCCGGGAAACATTCAGCAGGGCTGTGATGTGCAGGTTGGCAAGGAACTCGCACTTTGATGCATGGTAGGCACTTCCAAGGTAGAGGAAGGGAAGAATTTCAACTGGGCCACCCTGGAAGCAGGGACAAAGGACAATCAGGAAATATTGGATTAGCTTGCTCATTTGGGAGAAGAAAAACAACTCTGACCTATTTTTTTCTTCAGGTGAGAGGTTTCCTTTCTGGTTTCTAGGTAGAGAGAGTTCAGAGCTAGAGCAGGTCAGCCAAGAATGTGCATGGCACCTCCATCCAGCCAACTCTCTACCCTATGTGACTGCCTTGTGATTCAGTGACAGCAAAACCCACACGGCCCAGAGTTTCATTTTTCACACATATCCAGGAGATAGGAAGTTCTAGCAGCCTTACGATGTTAACCAGGATGAGAAGTGGTGTGAACAAAGGTCCCTGTTGAAGTTTAAGCTGCCCAGACAGGCCCAGGGTAAGCCACTGCAGCATAGGGCAGCCTTATACTTTATCTATAGACAAAATGGAAGAGAGTTTGGCAAGGTTAATATCCTCCTTTAGAGCTGGGACTTTTTTTTTAAATTTTATTTATTATTTTTATTTTATGTGTATGAGTGTATTGCCTGTACCCGTGTCATGCAATGCTCGCGGAGATCAGAAAGAGGCTGTCAGATCTCTGGGACTGTAGTTACTGTAGTGCTGGTATTTGAACCCGGGTCTTCTGCAAGAACAGCCAGTGTTCTTAACCACTGAGTCACCATGTCCCTAGAGCTGGGACATTTTATATAGTATACTCCATGAACTCTAACGGACAGTTGATCTAAGATAGTCTACATTTTAGAGGTGGTGTAATGTGTCATTCCCTCCCCACACCCACTATGTTTCTTAGAACTGAAGATAGCCACTACCTGTCCAGAATCTGTACACTAAGAAAAGCTGTTAGACCACAGGCAGAGCAGAGGGGCTTTCCCCACCCCTGACCTTCTTCACATGAACACCAGCATTGGGGAGAGAAGCTGTTATCATCACTTACAGCTCAGATTTCTAGTTAAGGAGGCTTCAGAAAAAGGAAGAAACAGAGACCCCACGGTGAAATTGAAAAGAACCAGTAGCATTTCCAGGGTTCTCAGGTGCCAAGCAAAGGCCAGTGACTACTGAGCAACCCTGGCTCTGACTTTAGGAACCTTTCCCACACCATCCATTCATTTCTTGCCCTAGAATAAAGTGGAATGAAAACTTTCAGCCTGATCCACAATAGGGAATAAGTAATAAGTGATCAAGTGATTGGGAATCAGCAGCAGCAGGAGACAAATCTCAATCCACCCAGCACTTGGTGTTGCTTTTTCTTTTTAGCCACATAGAAAAAAGTAACAGCAGATTTTACATACGATTAATAACAATAACCTGCATATATACACACATGTATGTACATGTATATATAAAAAAATTTTAAGACAGCGTCTCACATAGCTCAGGCTGGCCTCAGACTAAGTAGCCAAGAATGACCTCCAACTCCTGATACTCCTGCTTCTGCCTCCCAAATGTTGGGATTACACACATGCACCAACCACCATGCCTAGTTTATGTGGTGCTGGAAATTGAACCCAAAGATTCGTGCATGCTAGGCAAGCATTCTACCAACTGAGCTATGGCCCTACAACCAACATTTTTATTAGCATCTACAATGTTGAGGGCTTGAAATACCTGTGTGGTATTAATCTCACAATAAATTTGTAAGGTAGATAACAATGCCCCCATTTTACAGATGGGTTAGGTGAGGCTCAGATGGGCTTAAATAGGGTGCCCCCATATTAGAGCTAGGAACTGAAACCTAAATCTGACTTCTTAGCGTGAGTAGCAGCAAGGCCTTATCTGAGTCCATTTTGGAGATCAGTATGAGAAAACAAGGGTTGTTTTCTGTTTGTTTCCTCCCTGCTGTCCCAGAACTCATTATATGTAGCTCAGGTTGGCTTTGAATTTACAGCAATTCTCTTGGCTTCATCCTGACACAGTGCTGATATAATGGGTATATACCCAGTTTAGAAACCAAGTATTTTTGGTAAAAATGGGAAGAAAGAATTCCTTTCTTTCTTCTCTTTGTCTAAAAGCAAGTCCACCTGCACTCCCCACTGACACCACTCCACCCTCTCCTATACAGAACAGTGTTCCATGGCAATGTGGTGCATGTTAGGAATGCAGACCTGAGAACAGCTCTGGGTCAGCCTCTAGCTCCTAGCTGACAGGACCTTGGTAGGCTTCACTAACCCCTGAACCTTCATCTGTAAATTGGGGCTAATATTATCCCTTGGGATAACTAATAAGACATAAAAGGGCAACAGATGCATTGTTAACATGGATATTATGCAGTTGCAGCTTCATCCAACTAAAGAATGAATAGGCAGAATACAGCTTCTTTCCCTGGAAAAGGCACAGGGCAGACCCGGAAGCCTAGCCATCCCAGCAGGTCTGGTTTTGACCTAAGAGCCCCCTCTCCCTGGACCAAGCTTCTTGCTGGTTAGAAACTATGAGAACAGCAGAGGTGGAGGTGGTAGAACACTCTTAGGAAAGGGGTCAGAGACCAGTTCCATTCTGCCTTGATCGCTCTAGGTCATCCCTCCCTCTATCAAATGGGCACCAATAGCCACCTCCTCAAAGAAACAGGCTGGACACTAACTAAGACCTCTCCCTTTCCTGAGTGCCTGGAAAACGCTGACACACCAGCCTGGGATCCCATCCAACTTCCCCTGCAGCTTGGCCTATTGCGCCCCTGAAGTTCTAGTTCTTTCCCTTTCTGGAGCTTCCGTTCCAGCTCAAGAGGAAGACACTAAAGGCTGTCAGAAACCCCAGAGGATATCACAGGTTTGCCTGGCCTCTCTCAGTGCAGAGGCATTTTTAAGAAATAGCACTGGGGGTTCCCCCGGATGAGTCCTCAAGACATACCAGGGCACCCCACCCTCACTTGGCCAAAGGACTACAGAGCTTTCACAATCTACTGATTCTTTTTTCTCTTTCACTTTCTGAGAAAGGGGGTAAAACACATCCCAAATAAACAAACACAGGCATCCAGCTCTGCAGGATGCGGAGGCTTCAGACTAATCCCACATGGTATTTTTTTCATGATAGAAAACAAATAGAACCATGATCCTGGCACCTGGCCAGGCTAACAGTCTTCCAATGACCAAGGATCCCATTAGAAACCTTGGTTTTACTTGGAAATCTGTCCTCAGGGGTGGAGTTCTGTCCAAGGCAGGGAGCTGATGCTTTTAGCAATATCTAGAAGGTTCTTAGTTTGGGGGGAAAAGTCTGAAAAACTGCTTTTACAAAAATCAGATGTCTAGGCCAAAGGGCAGGTGGCAATCAGGAGACCCTGAAAGGAACCAGAGCAGGCAGTTTAGAGAAGGTCTGCCTGACCCTGGGGCTGCCATGAACCAGATGTGGAGTCTTTGCGAATTAGCTGTCAAACTGCCAGTCATCCCACTTAGCCAACTGTTCTAGTTTGCTTCTCTATTGCTATGATAAACACTGACCAAAAGCAGCCCAAGGAAGAGTTTACTTGGCTTACGGGAACCTGGGGGCAGGAATGCTACTTTCTCGCTCACTCCCTGCTGGCTGGTTCAGCTACCATTCTTTCCTATTTTTTTAAAAGATTTATTTTATTTTTAATTATATGCATTATATGTGTGTGTCTGTGTATCTGTATGTGTGTTATGTGCATATGAGGCTAGAAGAGGGCACCAGATCCCCTGGAGCTAGAGTTAACTGTTGTAAGCCACCTGATGTGGGTGCTGGGAAGTGAACTAAGGCCTTCTGGAAGAACAGTTACACAATCTTAACCACTGAGTCAACTCCCCAGCCCTAAGCCACCTTTTCTTACACAGCCTAGGCCCACCTACCCAGGGATGGTACTGTCCAGTTGGCTTGGACCCTCCTCTATCAATTAGCAATCAAGAAAGTGCTCCACAGATATGCTCATAGGCTAATCTCATGTCATGTAGGAAATTCCTCAACTGAGGTTCACTCTTCCCGAAGTGTCAAGTTCACAAGCAGGATAAGCCATCATACTAACACAGAAGTCTCTTACTGTGAATGGCAAGGTGGGGTCTAAGCTCTGGTTTCCATCAGACCTGGCTTTTTACCTGCTTTTCCCCCATCTTCCTATACCATGCTATAGGTAACCAGTCTCCTGACCCTTTTTTTTTTTTTAAATTTTTGAGACAAGTGTCTCACTCTGTAGGCCTGGCTGGCCTGGACAGCATAGAGACCAGGCTGGCCTTGAACTCAAGAGCTTTGCCTGCTTTGTGCTGGGATTAAAGTTGCCATAAAGCACATGTGTTTTGATGAAAACAAAACCCACATGACTATAGAAACATGAAACTCTAGTGTCTCCATTTCCTCTAGTAACAGAATTTTTATAATGTAAATGCCAGAAGCCCTGAGAGGACAGCCAAACATGGTGGTACACGCCTATAATCCTAGCCTCTGGCAAGCTCAGGGAGGAAGATATCAAGGTCAAAGTCAGCTATGACTAGTAGTATGCCTATCTCAAAAAACAGAAGAGCAGAGAGGGGCACCTGCTGAATTTATTTCTCTAGAACATCATTCTCCACCCTGTTTCCCCCTTATAAAATACCAACAAGACATACCTTAAACAGGTACCAGGTCAGTTATGTAGAAATACAGAACGCAGAGCACGATTCTGACAAAGAACACAGGAAGCCTGAAAGTCAGCTCTGAGATGTCTTCAGGGAAACCTAAACTTTATTTCCAAGCTTCCCAAAACCTTCCAAGCCAGCTAATAATGATGTTATCTCTCATTTCCTCTTTTCTCCAGAAGCTCACCAGCATCCTGTGGCCTGATGGCTCCTGTCAGCTTTGTGTGCTGGAAGGATGCCCACTTACTCTTGGATGGGAACTCATCTGGCAAGCCACAGAGGAACTCTAAACTAGAAGACAGTGCTAACACTCTTATCCAAAAAGAACCAACTTGAGTCAGGACATTGAGGAAGCTATAGAGAAAGGAGCTGGAAACCACGTACCTGGTCATAAGCTGGCCTGTAGCTGACACTGAGCACTGGCTTTCCACACTGGCTGAGGAGGGCTCTCTCGCTTTCAATCTTCTCTTGTGGAATGGGCTTTACATCCACACAACACTCCGGATACTGTGAGTAGAAGGTCTCATATCCCCCTTCAAACACAAATAAACAAAAAGTGAGTCAGGTAAAAAGCATTGGGTTCTCAGGCTGTCAGAATACCCATCACTTTCATAGGATACCCTGAACATATGATATCTTAATATACATCTGGTCACATGATAAAGTAAACAAAGGGCGGCTCAGTGGTAAAGCACCTTCTGTAAGACTGACAACTGGATGTCAATCCTCGGGACCCACAGAACAGACTGAGAGAACCAATTCCTGTAAATTGTCCTCTGACCTCTCCTCATATACTACGGCATGCTCGAACCACCCCAAAATAAATAAAATGTAATCTTAAAAAACTGAACAAAATCACCAGATTTAGAATAGAATGGGCTCTCTCTCTCTCTTTCTCCCCCCCGCCACACACATCTAAAAAAAAAAATCTATGGTTCAGAGAAGCAATTATTAACTTTTGGTTGTCTATCAGCTTAAAATATTAACCATATCCTTCCAGAAAACACAAATTATTTTTTCTCATGTTTATCTAAAATGAAGGTAGGATTATACAAAAATTTCATTAATTTATGAAAAGACTCCTAAACTGGCTTTTTCCCTAGTCCATTTACTCTAAGTAAAATTACAGAGGCCCCTTCTCCCACTTATAAAGAAATAGGGGCCCCTATGAGGTTGTAACTCGGGGTAGTTAAAACAGCTTTGTCCTTTCTCACTCCCAAAGTGGTAAAAACACTGCTGACAATCTCTTTTATAGGTTCAATTTAGAGTCATAAATCAAGTTCATACATTCTAAGCCAAATGGGAGGAAATTGAACTTGTGAACATGTAAGAATCCTAGCATTACATTGCACCGCCTCCAGATGGATCACTTAAGGCTAAAAGTGGCTCTCTAAAACTCGGCATGAAAAGAACATGCCTGTACTTCCAGCACCTGGGAAGCAGAGGCAGGCGGGCTGGGAGCTGAAGGCCAGCCTGGGCTATATAATAAGATGCTGTCTCAGGAAAACAAAAGAACCCACACAAACCAAAATGATACAAAAAAAACATGGGGGAAAATGACCAGGTCACAGAAATATACCCATACCAACAGTCTCAGGACCATTATAGTCAGTGGGGAAGAACCAATGAAAACCTGGCCTGGAGACCATTAGAAAACCAAGGCTTGCAGGTGGACAGGAAGGTTTTGCTTAGGAGCATTCTGCTTCTAACGAGGAGCATAAAAGGCTTCAGAAAAGCCTACTTCTGTCTTCACTGGTCTTAAGAATTCACTTGGTGTCAAATCACCAATTAAATATGTATTTTGAGACCAGGTTTTTCCAAAAAGCTTCCTTTTTGCTTTTGACTTTTGGTATTATGCAGCCTATCTGTGGAGGGCATGATGGCTTTCTAAACCTCTGCAGTGGGCAAATGGTTACTGGATTCCACAGCAGTCTCTTAACTCCCTCCCAGAAGCTGCAGCCAATTCCTAGAATGAGTCATCTTGTCATTCTGGCTTCTCTCAGCTCCATGCAACTGCCTCTGCCCCATCTCAAATCTCCCAGGTGGTCACTTCAACAAATACCCACTGCACTCCCAGACAAGCTTGTCCCCACAGTGGTCATGTTCCCTGTCATGACAACAGGAGGCCTGGCTAGAAGGGGATGGAGGTTAGGAGTGAAGGGTTTGGTGGCTTAGCTTCCCCACCCAGGGGATGGGGGTGGGTCCCCTTCCCTTCTAGAAGGCAGAGATAAAGTCACAATGCCAGAGATTTACACTAACCCATATATTCTGAGGGAAGGTATGTGTGTGTGTGGGGGTGGTAACTCTAAGTAAGTAAATCATCTGAGTAGGCTGGCTCAACATTTTGGGTTCCAGGAAACAAAATGAGTGACTTGTGGGCGTTTGGAGAAAGAATAGCCCAGGCACTCCCAAACTTGGGGATGAGGCTTGGGAAGAAGAGCCCTCAGACCACCTCATCTTTTGGCTTTAAATAGACCACTTAAAAGCTGGCTGCCAGGAAGGCAAGAGAAGATCTGGTGTGGACCTGCTGACAAAATAAAACAGGCAGAGTCTTGGTGTATGAGGGACAGATAAACAGCCTCTCCATGCTGGGGTCAAAAGATTAGATGGTCTCTGCCTTCCGCCCACTCCCATCAGAGGTGTGGAGAGAGAACATTCCTCTCTGGTGCCTCACTCAAATTGCAAGAGCACTGGTAATTCCTATGGCTGCTTCAACCCTTTTCCAAGTGAGTCTACTTTCAATCATCACTGCATTGCCAGGGGAACAGACAAGAGGCAGCACACGGACACTATATAAAAATAAGCACTGGGCACCCAATTCAGTCTTCAGCCTCTCATTTTAGTGGAAATGTAGAAAGTATAAAAGGCATTTCACCAAGATCTGAATGCCACGAGGTTAAAACCTGAATGCCTCTCTGGACATGAGCTAGGTGAGGAGACAAAGGAATTTTCCTCTGACAACAGTTTGAATTTCAGTAGTATTCTAAGGGGAGCATTTCTACTGAAATTTCAAATGCATATAACTTTCTGCCTTGAATTTTCATGGTTTTACTGAAAGAAGACAGTGCACATGCAAGAGCAATTGGACAAGGACATCCATCTACCCTCTCCTGCACTACCCTGAACAGTAAGGCTGGGAGCAACCTACAGGCCACCACCAGGTACACCATGAAGGAGCATGGATGTTCTGATGTGGCTGAGTCTTAAGGACTGAGTTGAGTAAAGAGGCAGGATCAGAAAGCACATGGAGCCAATTTATCTTTTAAAGATATCTGGAGAATCAGGGGTGATGGCATCCACCTTTAATCCCAGCACTCAGAAGGCAGGAGGTCAAGGACAACCTGGTCAATATACTGAGACCCTGTCTCAAACAAACAAAAGATGCTGCCTAAATACTAACTATAGTTGGTGGCTGTTTCTGAGGAGAGGAACTAGGGTTTTGGGTGTGAGGAAGACCCACTTTCCTTATACATTCTTTGTGCTGTTCAAATTTTCACCCGGATATGTTACTTTTCCAAAAACATTTTATTTATTTATTTTATGTGTATGAGTATTATGCCTGCATGTATAGTGTACTTGTGTTGTACAGTCCCCCAGAGGATAGAAGAGGGTGTTGAATCCCTTGGAACTGAAGTTATAGACGGTTGTTAGCCACCATGTGGATGCTGGGATTCAAACCCGGGTCTCCTGCAAGAACAGTCAGTTCTAACTGCTGAGCCATCTCTCCAGGCCCCTGGGTATGTTACTTTAATGAAGAAAAAATAATTAAACATAACTTTCCTGGGTTTACAGGGCTGGGTACTTCCTATGTTAATAAACTTACATACTGTCTTGCATGGCCCCCTTGGAGAGGGGTGGGGAGCAGAGGAAGGCCCAGGAGGGTTTCCTGGAAGAGTCTTTCAGATTACTGGGGGCAGAAGCTTTTCCTGTATGTACTGCTAAGTATAGGGGACAAAAATCACATCAGGAAACCAGGAGACAAGTATATGAGGCCTCTGCAGAGCTTTGAGAAGGCCATCCTTCTTCCCCCTGGGGCTGCAGGGAGGACTACCATCCACCTCTGTTACCTGGCAGTGGGATCAACAAGGGACAATTACCAAGAGGTGTTAATAGATGGGGAGTTGTCCACTGGCCTCTGGAATCTTCCTGACCTGCAGTATCCCACCGCTTTGAAGCAGGCTCTTAACCCACTGTCCTCACATCAGATACAGCACAAGGCATCCAAGCAACACGGTTTTAGGGCCCTGACATTGTTAAGCTCTTGCTTCTGCACCCAGGCCAGGGTTCCCATACTTTTGAGATTACTAGGCACCGGGAAGTCACAGGAAGTAACCCAGAAATCAATGCTGTGGCGTTTAAGAGTAATCACCCACACACAACCGGAAGCCAAAGTTAACTCCCCAGCAGGTGAAACGGTCAGGCCTAGTGGCAGTTCTGAAGGCCTCAAATCAAAGGCCACAAAATGTCCTCCACGCCATACAGCCCCTCCGGGTACCTCTCCTAACTCTGGGCTGGCCGGCTGGTGGTCTCTAACTGGGGCAGTCAGTAGGCTAAGCTCTGGACCAACCCAGAAATAATTCCCGCTGAGAAAGATGGGAGATCAAAGGGATGGGAAGGCTGTCAACTCCAAACAGTGCTTGAGAAAGACCTAGGAGGGGAGACGAGGAGGCAGAAAAACAATAAAAATCAATAAAGGGAAAGGAAGGGGAGGGACTCGCCAGGGTCAAAAAGGCAAGAGAGGTCCTCGAAGGCAACAGTAATTGCCTAGGCGGGAAGAAAGGGGACACCACGGCGCCATGCTCCTGGGGGAGGATACCCGACCTACTAGATCGCGCCAGATCTGCAAGGAAGGCTTGGACCCGTGAGGTCTGCAAACGGCGCCCGAGACCAGCCCAAGGCCCCCGGAACTGCTAAGGAGCACAGCCAGCACCGTCCAGCCCACCCAGCCAGGTGGACAGACAGGCTGCCAGACGCTTTCGAGGAACGCCGGGTGGGGAGAAGGAAGATGGGGCGCTGACGCTCGCAAGGACCTCCTCAGCGTACGTCAAGCCCCGGGGTGCATTCTACCGAAAAGGGTTACTTTCCCCGGTCCAGAGAGAAGACGAGGGTCGGGGGCGGCCGGCGCGGGCAGGGAACCCCGCTGGCACGTGCGGTACGGGTGCGTGGGAGGGAAGGGGGGGGTCGGCGGGCCCCCGACTCACCTTTGAGGAAGTAGACCCGCGGGCCGGCAGGCAGGCAGGCCAGAAGCGAGGTCAGCACGACGCGCGCGGCGCTCTCTTCCCGCAGCTTCTGCCAGTGGCGGCTGCCCTGGTCCAACACAACCACCGCCGCCACGCCGCCGCCGCCCTCCTGCAGCAGCCGCGAGCGCGCCGCCTCGTCGGGGAGCACGTAGCGCGGCGACACCGCGCCGCCCCGGGCCCGCCGCAGCACCACCGAGTTGAGGTTGACGTTGAGCGAGCCGCGCACGCTGGACGCGGCGAAAGCCAGGTAGGGACGGCAGTCCAGCACCACACAGCGCGCCGCCGCCTCCTTGCGGAGCATCTTGCGCAGCTGGCGCCCGTCGAGCGACGTGACCTTCATGCCGCTGCCACCCAGCGGCCCGGCGCCGCGCGCCCCGCAGCTACCCACGGCCAGGATGCTGGCGGGCTAGGTACCGGAGGGACGGCCCGGGGAGCTGCGGTCAGACAGACCCGACGCGGAGGGGCTGCGCGACGCTCCTTCCCGCCCCGCGCGCTCAGCACCCGACCCAGCTACTCGCAGCCCCAGAAAGCCGGGGATTCCGCCGGCTGCGCAGCATTTTATGTGAATGAGCGCGCGTCCTATGACGTGACTGCCCATATAAGGCCAAATATGGAAATCGGCCCGCCCCTCCGGCCGAGGCCGCGCCCCTCCAGGGGCGGGGCTGAGCCAGCGGGCTCGTGCCTCCACCCCCGGGGAGCGGGACGCGTGGGGCAGGCGGCCAGCCTTGAGTCAGAGCGACCAAGAGGAAGTGGCAGGCGCCTGCTGCTTCTCTCGGTGGCTTCGCGCAGAGACTCACTCACGAATCACCCGGGACTGCCGGTGGGGTGTCAGGGACGCCACCCGGCCGACGTGACCCACGCTGTGCGGGAAGAGGGGGAAGCAAATCTGGCTTGCGGTTCTGTAGGCGTAGGGTGAGAACCTGTCAGGGGGCTGCGCTGTTGGCGCCAGGGCCTCTGCATGAACCCGAAACAGATCCCTGTGCCCACGGAGGAGGTTGAGCTTGTAAGGATATAGGATCCGAGATGACACGAGGTGGGCCATGGGTTTATCGTCATGAGGCCGGCTGATGGATACCTGGAGACTTACACGTTTTCTCCACTTTTCTGTTATGCTTGAAATTTTCCACAATAAAAGTTCTTAAAAGTAAAAATAGGAAGTTGAGGGTGAGTAGGACAGGAGAGGCAGCAGCTAGACTCCTCAAATGGATTCTGCCCTCAGATGGATTGACAGCCCTCTTTAGTAATAATACAGGGTCTGTGATTCTGGGAAGCCTGTCATGAGCCCAGCAGAAGCAGCGTCAACATGGATCCAATAATGGGGTCAGTCCAGTAAACCTTGTCCAGGTGGCTTCTGGATTTGGGGGATTATTGTCGATCAAGTGTAATCCCAGGCTGTCTATCCCTCCTGGGACCTTCAGGCTTCCGCCCCCATTCCGGAAAAAATAGAGAGGATTTGTCCCCTCTGCAAGTATTTATTGAGGACCATCTCTGGACGGGACCCTGCTTCTGCAGGGACTTGTGGGATACAAACATATCACTGTCCCCCAAGTTCATCCCCAGCCATTTTACTGTTAGCTTTTGATGAAAAACAGTCTGTGTCCACTAGAGGGGGGGTTGGTTTACAATTGACATAGGGAATGAGATTTTTAGGAGAAAGCAGAAATCAGATTCTGAAATCAAATGCTGTCAACCCCAACACCAGTAATAGCTATTACTTTTGGGCCATAGCTCCGTTCAGTTAAAGGTGCTGTCCTGAGTCTGTAACCAGTGTTTAGGAGCCTGTGGCAAGAGGATTGAGGCTAGCCTAGGCCGCATAGACTCCTGTTTAAAAAAAGAAAAAAACAAATGGTGCACATATACATGCAGGCAAAACAGTCATACACATAAAATAAAAATAAATAAAATATTTTAAAAAACAAACAAAAATCACTGTCCTTACTGTGCCAGTGGGTTGTGCTGATGTCATGACAGTTTTTGTTCTCTGGGGTTATCTGTGCCAGCCTTTCTTATAATCTTTCTTCTAGACTGTTCTGTTTCTGTTGCCAGAAGTCTCCAGCCCCAGATATTTCATTCCAGAGCCACACAGATAATGTGGAGCACCCACGAGAGCCAGGCTTTGTATTGAATGCTTGGTGATCCATGTAAGCAGGATTCACTATCTGCTCCAGCAGCTGCCAGCCGAGAGGGGAGGCCCTGCCCAGACACAGGCTTCTTTAAGGTTCTGTGGTCTGTGCACCCAGTGTGGATGGGGTAGAAGTGGAGGCTGGAGAAAAGTTCTCAGAAATGAGGGCCAGACAAACTTCAAACTTCCAGGAATGAATAGAAATCACTTGAACTGAAAAACAAAAACAAACAAGCAAAACTCCACCCCCCAACAATCTAGCATGCTATGTAGTGGAGGTGTATGGAAGACTACTACTATACTTCAGGCATTTATCCAAGGTAGCAATAAAGGTGAATTTTTTGGGGGGAGGTCATCTTTTTGAGACAGGGTCCCCCCAGCTGGCCTGGAACTCACTAGGTAGACCAGGCTGGCCTTGAACTCACAGAGATCCACCCACCTTTGCCTCCCAAATGCTGAGATTAAAGGCGCGCCACCATGCCCCACTGCAAAGGTGATTTTAAAAAAGAAAGAAGGAGCCGGGCGTGGTGGTGCATGCCTTTAATCCCAGCACTTGGGAGGCAGAGGCAACAGATCTTTGTGAGTTTGAGGCCAGCCTGGTCTACATAGTGAGTTCCAGGACAGCTGGGGCTACAAGGAGATCCTTTCTCAAAAAGACCAAAAAAAAAGAAGAAGGAAAAGCAGGGTCAGGTGGCAAAGGGCCTTGAGTGCCATTTAAGACATTTGGATCTTATCCTTTGGGACCCAAACTGCAGTCAGGGAGAAGGACAGGAGGTTTTTTCTGTGGGTAATCTGGGTCTGAACTGATGAGGACTTACTGCAATTTGGCAGTGATCACAGCTGTGAAGAGCAGGGGAGAGAACATTTAGAAAATAAGTGGCCCAAGGGGATGGGATGAATGCACAAGGATGGAGGGCAACACCAGAGGTTTTAATAAATGACTGGGTGGGTGGTGGTACTATTAGAGAGGGACAGGTCTAGGGGTAGAAGAGAAGGAGGGGGATGGACTGTAGCCATATTAACAAGTTAGAGTTAGTCATGACCATTCTAGAGGGGTATCCTAGGGTGGCCTAGGAAGAAAGGTACAAAGGTCATCTCTCAGCTATCTTGTTGGATTTTTTCCTTTCTTCCCATGTATAAAGAGATCACCAGGTCCTGAGACTCTGCTGTGCAGGTCTGTCTTCTGACCTGTTGTTTCCTGTCCTGTGGCCAGGGCTGGCTGGCTTCACTTGAATATGGCTTGTAGCCACATAGAGCCTTGTGTTTAAAAAAGTGCCCCATCATTTTGCCCCTATGCTGTTATTATCTTGAAATTCTTGAGTTTTGTACAAGGGACCTTACATTTTCCTTTTGCAACAGGGTCCTATAAATTATTTAGCTGGTCCTGCTAATGGTCAGACTTAAAGAGCTCCACTATCCTCCCCCCACAGCACCAACTGGACTCTAGCTTTCTATGTCCTGGTTTCCAAGCCTTTCAGATCTCTCATCCTCTGTGACCTGGTTTTAGAACAGAGCCCACCTTCTCTGGCTTAAAACTTTCAATGCTATCCAGATAAAAATCCAAATTCCTTAGTGGAATTCAAAGGTCTTCCTTCTGATCAATTGGTCATAATCCACTTCTGACTTTCTTTTCTGCTCCTATTCCAACTTCCCGACTCCCTGCACAGGAATCCTGTTGCACTTCCAAGAAGCCACTATTCAATTCTTCCCTTCCCCCGCCTGACAGTGAGCATTATCAGTCCTGCCATTACCACACTCAGGGTTTTATCTGACACCTAAGTCTCCATCAGGACACCTGTACATGGTGTGGACCAGTCACTGCTAGTAGAATGGAATTCAGTACTTGCAGAGACATGGAACAGCTGAACCTTTGGGAGGCACCCTGAGAGAAAGTTGGCAGCAGGATGAATAGGGGGCAAGGCAGAGAGCTGTGGATTTACAGTCCACAGGGCCTGTAGCTAGGTTGTTTCAGACACAGGTCTTATAGGAAAGAGAAGGAGATGTTGGAGATAAAGGACTTTACTGGCATAATAACCAGGCCTGTCCCCCTCCTGCTTTGGAATGGGGTGAGAGTGGACTGAGGAGGAAAAGCAGAATTTAACATCCAGAGTCCATGGCGTAGGGCCTGGTCGCGGTCGTTATTTTCTCCCCTCTATCAGTTATCTTCGGAGTGTTGCAAGCACATTTTGAGGGTTCTTAAGCCCTTGTTTGACCCTCATGCTTTGCTCATTGGTGTCTTGCAATTGGAAGGTCACGGGTGCCCCTTTGTAAAAGTTGTGAGCCTCTCCTTTGGCACACACAATATTCAACTTAACAGTTTCAGGGAGTTCACAGACCTAGGTGAGTATGGCCTTACTGCAGCCTCAGTCAGAACCTCTGGGCCTCCTGTTTACCCATAGGTGGGCCAGTCAGCTTTGGGAATGGGTTAGAGAGTGTCCACAATGCAGGGCCCCAAACAATCCCAAGATGAATCCAGGGTCTGTTCATAAGCCCCAGCACTCTCTGAAGGATGCACTTAGCTCCCCGCCACACACACTTGATTTACTTGTTTCTTGTTATAAGAGTAGTGCATGTGGGGCTGGAGAGATTGCTCAGCAGTTAAGAGCACTGGCTGTTCTTGCAGAATACCCAGGTTTGAATCCCAGCATCCACATGGTGGCTAACAACCATCTGTAACCCCGGTTCCAGGTGATCCAACACCCTCTTCTGTCTTCCTCAGGCACTGCATGGCACAGGTACACTTACACACATGCAGGCAATACACTCATACACATAAAAATATATCAAGCCAGGCGTGGTGGCACACACCTTTAATCCCAGCACTTGAGAGGCAGAGGCAGGTGGATCTCTGTGAGTTCAAGGCCAGCCTGGTCTACATAGTGAGTTTCAGGACAGCTGGGGTTACAGGGAGACCCTGTCTCAAAAAGACAAATAGTAATAATAATAATAAATAAAAAAAAATTTTAAGTAGTGCATTCTCATTGAAGTAGAAAATGAAAAGAAATGGAAAATGTGTTTTGTTTTTTAAAATTTGTTATTACATTTATTGATTTATTTATTTGTTGGGGGGGGCAGATGTATGAGCATGCCACAGCATGCATGTGGAAGTCAGAGGACAAGTTGCAGGAATTGGTTTCAGGCCTTTTTGTTTTTTAGGGTGCACCTTCTTCAGGCTGTTAACAGATCCAGACCCAACACTTGCTGCTACTACCTTAGAGGAAAGAAAGGGCGCTGTACTAGGAATCATAGATCTGGGTTGCTATCAAGTCTGTACTGCTACCGGTATTTATTTATTGGTCTACTATTTATAGTGCCTTTCTTTCCCTGTGGCCTTCCTACCTCCCCTGTCCCCCTTAGAATGGAACAGATACAATATTCGCTCCAGGACAGAGATAGCAGTTGTGTCCCTGTTGAGAAATCGCTCATTC